AAACAATCTGTTACCGGGCTCTTGTCTTCTGTCGTTACAAGTCGACTTCATAAAATCTCTCCTCTTTGTTTTAAGAATTCTTGTCGTTTGTGCAGCAGATGACGTCAATGCGTACAACATACTAATCACATAAGATACGCAGATTAATACAACAATCAATGTTTGATGCCAGCTAAGATGTCTTCAAAAAGTAAATAAAACTGATAATAAATCCATCAAGATAAATTCTGATTGAATTGTGACACTGGTGGTGGATTTTTAAGTAACCAGCGAGCTATAACCATGTTTTTTTTGACATTAACTCCATTATGGATAAGATTTTATTTTGATAAACCGCACACATTGTTGTACAGTTATATTAACTGATTTATTAGTAATTATTAGTCATTTGAATTATTACTGTCATTTGAATACGTTTCTCAAGAGGTATTCTGCATGATAGACTAAGTGTAATTTGTCATAGTCACTTGGAACTATGTTATTCTGGATAATAAGTCAATATCATGTAACTAGTTTTCGTCCCAAAAACATTTCTTCTGGCATGACAACATCTTCTGAAGGAACAGGGATTTCCTCATGAGCTGACATCATTTAAACAACCATTGGAAAACCAACAAAGAGTACTAGACAACCAGCTATTTCGTTAGCCTAGTTTGGAGCCCTTCGGTAGCGCGCAGCCACCACAGGGGGGTTTGAACCTAGGACCTTCTGGTTACAAGGCAAGCTAGCTCGTAGACCATTAGGCCACTGGGATCTGATCCAGTGGCTCATGAATTCCAACTTCTGCCAATTCATAACATAGCGCGACCACTTCGCAATGTCTTCTTCGATGAATTACTCCATCATCTTCAACCTGCTGCACCCTATCGGTTACGGCTTCTCACTAGACGCCCAGGCTAACTGCTTGAATAAAGCCAGTCGCTAGTGAGCGTCCAATCCCTACAAAACCAATACTGTAAAAGAACAAGGATTTGTTGACGAAATCTAAGCATTCAAACGATTTGTGTCACAGTAAAACTGACAATTTAAGTATTTTTCTTAACACTCTGAACTCAGAGCCATCATTTAGAAAGGCAAACAAATTATTTTTCTGCCTTAAATCTAATCAAAATTTCAAACCTACTTCTTTTTTTAAACTTAGGCATCTTAATGTTTTCTTTTATATTCAGTTGATGTTGTTTTAATTTATGTCATTAAAAAAGGCGGTTAATTTGATAAGTCTACGTATAAATAAAAAAAATTATTATTAATCAGCAAGTGTATTGAATGTTTTTGTTTCACTCAGCTTTTCACAGATTAGTTTTATAAAAAATGAAAATGATAAACTTTTCTCTTAGTATTTAGCAGATAAAAAATTCTTTTCAAGGTATAGAAATTCGCCTCTTTGAAACTGAATACTCATATGCTTTTCAAACTTAAAATAAGTTAACTTAAGAATTATGTACTAATTGTATGTATGCTTTGGGATTTTATTGTGTTGAAAAACGCATCAACTCACTTTTTTTTAAAAAAGCACGCATATCACCTCTTGTATGAATTTGACCTTAAAACTGTGACCTTTTCTATGCATTGTTAAGGATTAAAGAAGGATTATACGTTTTGAGAAATAATACATTAGTGTTCTAGAGGCATGAATTCATGACTACGTCCCTTTTATCCAAAAATATCAGATTTAAATCATCTTTTAGGGAAGGAATATTTGTTCAACACATATTTCGACAATAAATATTAAAACCTAAAGTTTACAGACTACTGAGTGATTTCAGTAACCTTTGCATTTGTAAGAACTTGGTTAATAAAGAAGGGAACTCAATTTTCCTGGTGGTAGAACTGAAGAAATAAAGGTTTGCTGTAAATCAGTAAATCTATCAGCCATATGAGAAGTGAGACACTTAATTTCAGAAAAGTCCTTAAGAAAATGCTTGTTAACAATTATTATACTAAAACTATCTGATAACTTTGTAAAATGGCTTTCAATGTGCTCATAGCTGAAATATTATCAGCTATGGACAGTCTTAACAGTAATTGTTAAGGGACCAGCGATGTCCACTAAATCGGATGTGCGGACAAATACTCGCCAAGGAAATTAACTAACGTTATGTTTCACAAACAGGTAAACGTTAGGTTTCATAGACCACTGAATTCCGTTCTGGTGGCTGGCTAGCCTTGTAGCCTGAAAGTCCTGGCCTCCAGCTGAGAGTAGTACCGAAGACTTTCAATACAGGACAAAATAGCTGTTCAGTACTCTGTGTTTTTAGTGGTCGGTATCATTTCAAACTGCTGAACATGTGGGGATTTCGGAGTTAACTTCGATTGTTACATACTGGTCACGAACCAACATCATTTGTAGAGGTCAGTGAAAACCATGGAGCACCAGACAACCAGGTGTTTCATTCTAATTTTGCTACCAACATAAATCGAACTTGGGATCTTTAGAAGTCGAGATCTAGCTCGCTGACCATCCAACCACATAGGATGGAATTCAACAACCCATGGATTCTAACTTTGTCGATTAGTGATATAACGCTGCCCTCACCAGTGCCTTCAGAAAGCATCCACTTGACCTTGAAATTCGTGGCTCCCAGTGGTCATGACTATCCACTTCAGTTTCAAGAAATTCATCCAGTAACCATCAGTGATTTGGTGATTGATATCCAGATTATTAATTGATTTTCTATTATCTCTCAAACGAATGTTGGTTCATGACGAAAAACTAATAATTGATCTATCGCCCACCACTCAGGTGTTCCGGGGTTCGATTCCTAGCTGACGCGTCCCTTTACCTCGCTAAACTAGTAGTAAGACTGGTAAAGAGGGAAGTTTGGGCATCAGGCTAACAACCCCATCCTGTAAAATAAACACTGCTACAGAAACTTCAAGCTACCAGCTTGAAGCCCTATGTTCACTGGGGAACGGTCTAACTTGAATTCCTTCGAATCCCTTCAAAACAGTACTTGAAAATGGTCGAATTTGTGCAAATTATTGTCTTGGATTTATATTAGATTATCAAAAAGCGCACTCGCGTTAGTAGCAGTAATAACAAAGACGAGAATAACAGCAATCTGATTTAGATCAATAACTCTTATTTCTGAATATTTGCTACAATGGACAGTATTCACAAGAGAAATGCATTTTTAATTATTTACGTTAACTAATACCAAGTAAAACATCTTCAGCCATATTAATTTTTAAGTGTTGGTTTGTAGGGATTTGGTTGGTTTCAGGATTTCATCATGAGCTGACATTAGTTAGAGAACCACTGGTAAGCCTGGGAGTACTGGATAGCCATCTGTTTCGTCAGCCTAGTTTGGGACTCTTCAGCAGTACGAACCCACTGGGATTCGAACCCAGGACCTTCCGGTTACAAGGCGAGCTTGTATACCAATAAGCCACTGGGACCCGTTACAATGGTCCTTGAATTCTAACTTCTGCCAATTCACGACACAGCGCGACCGCTAGCCAATGTCTTCGGCGAGTATTTTTCCTCACACCCGACCCGCTGCACACTACTGGTCACGACTTCCCACTGGAACCCAGGTAACTACCTACCTGAATAGGGCCACTCTGTTTTAACAATTTTCATCCACATTTATAATGAAGCTAAAAAAAAATTAACCAAAATCTAATTCATATAAAATAACAAAATTTCCTAGTGATAATTAATCTGACCGCCTGAAGCTAAATTCATACAAAAATATGCTTTGAGTCCATAATCAATCTTATGAGTGTATCATGCTTGTTCTCTCCTCACCAATTCTACTTTACCCAAGTTATTCTCTTTCGCAATATAAACGTGAAGCATGTTAAAAGTTAGGAATATTACTTGCAGGGCAAATCATATCAAATACCACTGGAAGTCAGTGGTTTTGTTTCAGTTGAAGGCTTTTCATTAATGCGAAGTAGCGGGCATAAAAGTCTAGGAACGTTAGTTATTTGTAACAACAGAAGACAGTGATCAGGCAACAGATCGTCTATTAAGGAAATCGGCACGTATTTATGTATATTTCATGTACATTATTATCGCTTATTCGAGCAGACAAACACAGTCTTCTGATTGGTTGTTTCTTGCTCAAGGTTATTCTGTACTGCTTGTGACTGGTTTCTCAGAAAGTTAAGCCATATATCTGCGAATTCTATTTGCCCATGTTAAGTCTACTGTGATTGGTTGTTGAATCAGCCTTGTTCATATTTTCTCACGGCCAATATTAGCGACCTAGACATTGACGTAGATTAATGTCTACCAATTGGCTAGCAGCCTGCTCTCACCATATATTTAGTAATTACAATATTTATCCTTCAGCAGATTATTATATGTGTATTCAAAATGCTCTATTTGGTAGTAAAAGCGTCCAGACTTCCACCCTGGTCTGTGAGTAGTCGTCCACTCAAGTTATTCCTATAAGTGACAGGCTTAGTCATGAGTGGACATCATTTGGAGGGCCACTAAAAACTAGAGGGTACTGAACAGCTGGCTCATTGTCGTTTGGGACTCTTCAGAAGCACTCACACATAGGGCTAAGAACCCAGGACCTTCTGGTTACATGGTGAGGTCGCAGGCCATTCAGCCACTGCAACATGACCCAATGGCCTATGAATTTCAAACTGCGCCAATTCGTGATATATATATATATATATATATATATATATATATATATAGTATGGCCACCAGTCAATATCATTGGCGATTAACTATCCTCTTACCTGACTTTTTGGACGCCACCAGTTACGACTTCTGTAAATGATGTCAGCTCGTGACCTGATCTGCAGTAAAGTGAAACATCACAATAGATTACTTTTGACTGTAATGACCTCTTTAAATTCAAAACTCTGGTGGTGACTCTTTAGGCGCTTCGCTACCTTCATCATCAGTCCACTTGGGGCGACTATTACACTTTGCCCATGAATCTCGTTTCACCGATAAATATTATTTTATAAATGCAATTCTATCTAAGCTTATTTATGCTGTGAGTGTTTATTTGTTTTTTCTTTTCTAATTTTAGTGTCTTGAAATCTGCAGATGGCCAAGAAGTCAAACAGTAGACTGTTCCACTTCTTGTCAGGTAATTTGAAATTTAAATTTTTTAAATAATTTCTATCCACAGATGTTCATTTTTTTAAAAAAAAAAATAATAAGCGTTGCTTTTGTCAGATATTTTTTCGTCTAAACAAACATCTCCTTCTTTGTGCATTACTCACACATCATTTTATCCTATAGAGGGGCTCAAAAGTTGTCCTTGATAAAATAGCACGTCTGTGATAACATAAAACAACACTAGTTAACTTAAGTCCAGGCCAGTTGAGTATAAAAAAGCATAACTAATGATAGATCGAATGTGAAGGTGTTTACAATGTTATTAAACGATTTAAATTTTAGCAAAGCAGAAACTTGAACATCACTCCTTAAAACAAACAAAATTAAGATGACACAATGGTTACGTGGTTTATTTCAAGTTATATAATCTGTAGAGAATAAGGTACATGTAAGCTAGGGAACAACTGATTGATTTCTAGTTGGTCATAACTCTTATATACGAATATATGTATTCTACAAAGTCATTTTGTCAAAGAAATAAAAATGTCTCTTCCTGTCCTGAATCCTATCCGTTAGTGTGAAAATGCACCTAAACGAATTTTACTACTGGGATTAACAAAAAAGGCCTAAAGTAACCAGATTATTCACATGTAAACAGAACTGTTTCGAATGGAATATAGGGCTTCAGCAACACACCTCCAGATTATTCTGTTATCTTTAGTCTATTTTAGCTGATTCCACAGTTGCCATAACCCGCATATAACCGTCGGAAAAACAAGTAGTCGTTTGTCATTCGGGTTTTACTAGAGGGTCTGGTGCGTGATGTCACTCAGTGAACTCCTCAGCAAATGTTTAGTTTATCTCCATTACCTTTGGCATATCTGCTGGATGATAGATTGTCGGTTGGTTCATCCCTTGGCAGAGTTCCTTGTTTTGATCGATCACTAGTTAGTAACTAGTGTAATGTGTCTAGTCTTTTCATTGGTGCAGATGGTATTCTATCAGTCAAGTTTGCCACCATTCTAGGTGTCTTGCCAAGACAGTGCACTCTGAACTGTTGGTATTTTGTAGTTGGAGGCAATCGGCCACAAGAAGCCTTTGACCCTAGGTTTTGGGCTAGTTGGCACTCACCCGTCAGCAAGGAGTGTCTGCAACCCTCAAGGGACTCATGTCCCTTTTGAGATTCGAACCCGTATCACCCAGTGCTGCAGTCAGAAACGTTACCACTGAGTTATTAGGGCTTGTGATCGACCTCCTCTAGGGTTGTATTGGATATTCTTTTTGATGGGAAACTAGTTATCAACTAGTGTAGTGTGTCTAGTTCTTTGTTCGGTGCAGACTGAAGTCTATCAGTCAAGTTTGCAAGTTCCTTGTTGCTAGTCCTTTTCAACTATCTGACCTTCTGTATGGAGCCAACGAAACCAGCTAGTGATAAGAGTTTGGTGCCTTTTGGGAATACTTTAGGCAACAGACATGGCAAGTCTTTCAACCACACAGGAGAACTGACTTCACATTAGTGTTGGAAATCTGAGTCTTATTCCTCATGCTGAGTTCAGCAGGTTTCTAAACGGATTCCAGAGTGATGAATATCTGTCTTGTCTTTCCGATCCTGCCTTCCATATGTTTATCTGTGCTACCTGTATTTTAAGCGATGCTTCTTAGACAAGTAGAAGAAATGATATCTTTCAATTTTTTTCGGTTGATGGTGATTGGTGTTGATCGTTGTCTGACCATCTTCTCTACAATCATTTGGAATCCCGTCTTCGTTGCCTGCATCTTCTATCAACTTGCTGGTTTTCCCATGTAAGTCTTCGAGGTTTTGTGATATTAGACATAAATCATAGACAAACCCCAGAACTTCTAGGGTCTTCATGTTCGTCCAACGTATTCCTATCCTTTTTTCTCTCCGTAGTCTCCTGCATAATACATTCCACCACGGTTGGGAATATCAGCATTGATATTAGACACCCTTATCTTACCCCTGTATTCACTACAAAGGCTTGGCTGAGTTTTCCATTGTGAATTACTTAGCATATGGTATCGTCAAATAGCCCTTCAACGGGGTTTATACATGTGTTGTGTCAGTGTAATGAGTAGTGCTGAAGCAGTCTTCAAATATTTTTTCAGGCTATCAAAGACCTTTTCAAAGTCGATAAAGCTGAGGCAGTCATTTGACTGCCATACCATGATCAGATTGATGATGATCCACAGAGTTGCAATTCGATTGATACATGATTCGCTTTTCCTATATAGATGCAGTTTTGCACCTAGAGCATCTTTGAGTCTCTCTAGGAAGATTCAAGTCAAGAACTGCTAACAACTATTCATACAAACTGAATCGTGTGTATACTGTGTGTATGTCTGCTGACTTCCACTGAAATCGTGATGCACAAGTAAAAGCACCATTCACATTAAGCATTTCGGCCGAAGAATATTTCTACACAATTAGTTTAATTCAAAAATCACCCAGTATTAAATACCTTACCTTTCACTTAAATTAAGGCAGAAAATATATTTGTCATTATGCCGGTTTTAAAGTTTCTAGAGATAATCATCTTTTCAGAACAATATTCATAATTTAATACTTTTAACAATCCCAAGTCAATTTTATATCCTCGTAAGTTTGATCACAGATTAGTGTGAGTTAGAAAACCTTTGAAAACCAGAAAGCACTGGACAGCTGTTTCGTCCCAGTTTGGGACTCTTCAGCACTACGTAACCATGACCTTAATGTGAGTCAAGCTCGTGACCTTCAGGTTATGAGGCCAGGCTCATTGATCACTCATCTACTTCGGCTGGGATTCAGTGACCCAGAGATTTCAGTGACACCACCAGCAATGTCAGTGCGAATATTTGTCTTCACACCCAGCTTAGTGGACCAGCACCTCTAGTCACAACCTCCGACTAAAACTCCTGGCAACTTATTCCCGTAACCAGTCATTAGTTAGTCTGGCCTCGTTACCATAAGCTCCCAGGTTCGATCCTTGTTGGGATGGTATGTACGCCTTGCTGTGGAGTCCCAAACAGGAAGAAAGTGGCTGTCCAGATCTTTCTGGTTTTCATTGCTCCTCTAAATGATATATATCCATGAATTAACTTCAAACAAATCAAATCCCCACCAACAAATTCCTGAAAATTAAATTCCCTTATTAAAGGAGACTATCGGAAATAGCCTCAGTCTAATAGGTTAATACCCTAGGTATATTTTCCTTAGGAAGTCTCAGATACCTGATTCAAATCCTACAATAATTCAGGCCTCTGTTACAATTCTTTCTGTTTATAAAGACAAATATATGTACCAAAAGCTCAAAGTTTAATCCTGCACAGTAAAAAGCAGTACTCAGCAGTTGGATATGTGAGAATCTGGTTGATTTCAAAGTGGGCTCAGTTGTAAACCAACATCACTTAAGGGGGCTTCGAAAGCAAAACTGAGAACTGGACATTTCTCTCACCTTAGTTCGAACCTCTTCAGCATTGAATACTCATAACCTCCAGATTACCATACCAGTATCTTACGGACAACCACCAACCAATGACCTAAAATTAATTTACCTTCCCCACTGCCTAGAGGTTTTGAGTGTGCGCTGCTCAAAAGTCTCAAACTTAGAAAGGAGAGATGTCCATTTGTTACTCATTTACAACGGCTCTTTAACTGGTGTCAATTCATGCGAAAACCCATCCTGAAACCGTAATCCTTTAGGTTACTAGATAAATCTGCTCGATGCCGCCATGATGGTTATATTGAATCCAGTCGTCTGCATTTTCTCGATTGAGCAAAAAACTAAATCCAAATGTTATTACTAATTAATTAAGCAAGAGATATCCAACCCCCTTTTTGGTGATCTAGTGTTTCAGCTTGATCAAAGTTGAAATACAAAGAAAGGAGGTTTTATTCTTCAGTGTTACACAATTTCTTTGATTTCTAGGTCATACGGTCATAAATGCTAAGCATTTTTATATTTATTCACTGGCTAAGCTATAAATAAACATCCGAATTTCTTTGATGTTGTTTGAAATTTGTCTAAAATAGAATCATTCATGACTTCTACAGTATTTGCATCAAAGCTTCACGTTTTAGCCTTGAAGTCTCAGTCCAGTGGTAGCGACGGTGTTGCCTTTTTACAGGGTGGAGTTACTAGACTCCTGTCCAACCTCCTCTCCTTACCGGACCTTTAACCAGCTATGCCGGGTTTAGGAGTGAATCGGCTGTGAATCAAGCCCCGGACAACTTGCGGCGTGGTCAGCAAACATTCTACCATCGGACCACTGACGAACAACAAAGCGCAGAGTATTATTTATTCCCAGAATTAAAAAAGGGGCTTTGTTGTGCCTTATAAATCCCGACATCCTCAGATTTGAAAAAGCTACTGGAAGTTAGTTTTAAGTACTTAGTGGAACTCAGATCTCTCCAAGCTCAACACTACACTACTATTATAAATATCAATAGAGAAAAAATTCACAATACAAGTTCTTTTTCAAGTTATCCATGATATTACAAAAGTGAAGTATTGAACTCCAAATGCTTTAAAGGTTTAAAATTTAAATTTAATAAGTGAGCAGCTTGCGAAAACTTGAGGCTTAGTACAATGGAGTTAAAGTATACATGCATATATTTATATATACATACATATATTTGGCGTTATATTCCGTTCGTGAATGAATACAGCATGACAGTATGAAAATGAGACATCGAAGCTGATCGCTACCCCTTAATTGATTTTAGTTCGCTATGGAATATACTTTGTAACTAAATTAAATTTCTACTTTTGTTATGTATTCGTCACGAAACAATATCTCTCTGGAGAGATCACTCCAAATCAGAAAACAATGCGTAGCTGTCTCAACCTGTTTTGAGGCTCTTTAGAAGTGAGCACCCATGACCCCACTGGGGACCTTTAAGTTAAAAGAAAAAGCTCATTTACGACAATTCAGCCATTTAAGCTAGATTTCAATGACCAGTGATTTCTAATTCTGCCAACTCTTGATACAGCGATGCACTCACCAATGCCTCCGCTGATTATCCACTTC